TATGACAAGACACAACTTCTGTTATTAAATATGTCTTGAGTTCATTTATGTGCAAGATAAGTGTTAGATTATCAATTATGCAATCAAGGAAACACAGTGTGTACTCATTTAATACTTTAAACAACAGCAGTGTGTGTACATAAAGAGATTCTACTTAAAAATGAAACATGTCAGGATGCTAGCAAAGCCAACTGGACATTTTCATAACATGAAGAGCAACTGATTGTCTACATGCTGGTCAGAAACAGCAAGCCTCACAAAGTGTTGTTAACAGGATGTATGCTCATTTTCAGGCCACCAGTCTAGTTGGTTAGAGACCTCGAGAGGGATGACTTTTGGATCATACTTTTGAAAGATGATTGTTATCATGAAAAATACGGGCTCAATGCAACCTGCAGGCCTTTGCTTCCCAAGAGAACTAACAATTCAAAGCAGCAATGTAATGTACACTGAAAAAAAAGACAGCATGCAAACAGTCAGAAACGGGCTTTTCAAGGTAGACCTTTATTCCAGGTGATCAATAGTGTGCATTTCTATAATGATGATCACAAGACAGTGTTTTTAGTGGTGTTAAAAACATGTTGGCATATGTCTTGTTCACAGGTGAATCAAACTTCATGTTGCAGCCAAATATGAGATCTGTACACATATGGAGAGTGGTCACAACTACTCAACCTCAATTTTGCAGAGAAAAGACAGGCATGTAGCAGTGGTGGCATACTGGTGTGAGCAGGGATCAGAACTGGTAGCTACAGTAATGCTTCTGTGCAACAAAATTGCATTATAAAGTACAATAATATTCAGTATAGGAATGCAATCTTACAACAATTAGTGCCTTCTAATGGACAATAACATCAGCCATCCATCATGCTTAGTAGGTTAGCATCTTCTTGGAAGAAGAAAGAATTGAGCAAATGGACTGGCCAGAATGCTCACTGGATTTGAATCTGACTGAATAGTGTTAGATGCTCTGAGATGACACTTGGTGGCACGATTTACTTCCAAACAGTGTTGATGAACTGTAAGTAGATGTAAGAAACAGCTCACTGATTCACTCATTTTAAACCATATGCTTTAATAACAAAACTTTTCTGATCATTTATTGGACTGAAAAGTCTCTATACCACATCAGCATTTGTACGTATGAACTAAAACAACAGATGACTGCACATTAGCTCACATTGCCATTTTGTATAAAAGTGAAATCATGGGTACCTTCAACGCTATTTAATAATATTAGTTTTGCCTTGTCATAGCTAGAATACAGAAAACTGATGTCCCATAATTGTTTTGAATAGTGTACTAGGAGTACTTTGTTTTATTTTTCAACTTAATCATTTTAATTACACTATTTTATCATTACTTAAAAGTTGTGTCAATTTTAAGAGTTGTTAATTTTTTACTTACAGTGAAAAACCTTTAATGATGCTTCATGTATTGTTAAAAAATGTTTGATTGTAATGAATTTGCTATGAAAATCACAAGATGTAGCCCTCATTCTCTTAAATAAAAAATAATCTACAGCTACAACAATCAAAACCAGGGTAAAAACTCCCACTTCACCTAATTTTGCTCCAGAAATTTTATTTTGTTAAATGTAAGTAAGCTATTTGCATTATTCAAAACTCCCAGTTAGTCAATAAGTCAAACCACAACCACACACATTTTCATGCAAACACTACCACCACCATCATCTTTTCCACACAAGGATGAGGTATTGTATGGCACTCAGTCTTCTGGAGGAGCTGGAAGTGAGTATCCACACCTCTGTACAGATCTAGTTCAGTCAGTCAGTAAGTCTAAAACCTCAACCATACACATTTTTATGTAAATACCACCACCACCATCACCTTTTCCCCCACGAGGACGAGGTATTGTACGCCACTCTCGGCCTTCTGGAGGAGCCGGAAGTAAGTGACCATCTTCATCTCTGTACAGACCTAGTTCAGTGCGTTCTATTTCCTCCCTGGTCAATCTTCTGAGTCGTTCCACTTCCATTCGCTTTAACTCGTCAAGTTTGCTTCGTACACTGTGCTTGACAAACTCCAGCTCCCTGGCTATTTCACCTGTCTAGGGAAATTAAAGGTCATACTTTTCTTAGAATCAAAATTTCAGACTTCTCAACCAGAGACATTACTTCAGAAAGTAACCTCATGGTCGAATCTCATGATATATTATTGGACTTGCAACCTAAAATATTGTTAAGAGCAAAGATACCCAAATAATAAAACAATGCATTCTAATCTTTATAAGTAGATACGTAAGAAAAGTATATTTAATAAGCTACACTGATGGCCAGGTTGACTTTCTGTTTCACCCTACGTACATAGCTTACTCTGATCAGAAGTAATTATTTATTATTATTACTTCTTTTGATAATAGAATGCTACAGTGCATTGTAATAATGATTAAAACAAAAAATTGAGAAAAAATCATACTTATCTATCTTAATTTTTTTTTGGCAATGTTATCACCACAATCATAGAATTCGTTTTTTTTTTTTGGCCTAATGTGCAATGACAACTAAGAATGTAATAATGACAGAGAAGTGTGGAATTAGCATTTTTCTGGTTAAATATAATAAGTTGTTGGCTCACTTTCCACTAGAATATTATTATGTACAAATTTTATGACTAATTTTATACCCATGATAATATTATTCTCCTCTATCTCAAACAAGTGACACATGCTGCTAAGTTTATTGTCCATTTGTACAGTGAAGAAGCACAGTACCCATGTGCTTGATTGTCTAAATGTTCTGCTCACCACTACATGATTGATAACCTCAATACAGTTGTGTTGTAAACTCAATCACAAAAACTAAGTGATTCTGTACTTAATGGCAATATCACTAGTCACTGTTATATTTAGTATTTCTCTAATTTGTAATCAATGTCATGGAGTGCAACATCATTCAAAGAAACTAAACTACCTCTTTTCCGAGAGTGCTTAAACATTCTCAAACAACTTTTTATATAAAGTTGATAAACTTTATTACCATAAAAAAAACTCAAATAAAATCTAAAAAACATGACCATAGGCCCCCACAGCAGATATCATGTTAAATGAATGTCTTTCTTTCATTGATGGAAAGGAAATTATTTTTCCAAACACTTTCAAGAATATTGATTTGACCAACAATACCAATGTTCACAGAAAAAAATAATGAAATATCAGCTCTCCTTACACAGAGTATGTATTTAAAAAAAGATTGTTTGTTTGTTTGGAATTAAGCACAAAGCTACACAATGGGCCATCTGTGCTCTGCCCACCATGGGTATCGAAACCTGGTTTCTAGCGTTGTAAGTCCGCAGACATACCGCTGTGCCACTGGTGGGCAAAAAAGATTGAAACAAATACAAAAAACTATTAATAGTGAAACTTTTATGGTAATTACTAATATTTTTTTTTTAAATAAGTATTTTACTTAATGAGTTTTGTCATGTGAAATGAACATTAGTTTGAAAATGTCTTAAAATCCAAAACAAGCTGGAAATAGGAAGATTAATTTCATGTGAAAATAACTGATTAACTGATTAATCTAATCAATAATCAATTAGCAAATTCTTCAAACCTCCTAGCTCTATTTTGATTTGTTATATTTCTTTAAATACCCAAAGCATAGCAAATTAATGCAAAATCATTATTACTGTTCAGCACAAAAGGGAGAAATTTAAGATTTAACATTCTAGTACCTTTATTTGATCAGCAGAAACATTTTCTAACTTTCTGGCAAAGTCCTTATCCTCTTCCAAAGCTTGAACAATCTGCTGCAGATATCTTCCATATTCAAGACCCTGTTAAACAATACCAGAAAAGTTACTAATGAACAACGATGTACTAATTAAATTTTATCAAAACTGACAAATCACCTTATCCCCCGCCACCATTATATTGATATACCCAAACATACAAACTCCTCTTTCTGTTATTAGGTTCTTATGACTAAAATCACACAAAAATACGAATGAATTATAATTCATTTATTTTAATCTATACCTGTAAGAATAACAATGCCCATCTGTACACAAATGAAATAAAAACAAATACAAGTTTATAAGCTTAAACTTTTCCTAATTTCTTCCACTTTTCCTTAGCTAAAGCATGACCAAATGTAAATATAGAAGATGGGACAAAATGACTGACATATATAAAAGGACTGAATTTTCTAGGGTTAGAAAAATTTAGTTTAAATGAAAGGCAACATTCTAACTATCAATTTACTTAAATTTCTTCCTTTCTTTTTAATTTTAGTCTATATTGTTAGAACTGCATATTTTCATTACTACTATGTACAACTCTGCTAATTAATTTATATAATAATTAGAATTCTTAAATTAATTAGTCTACTCAATGTAAAATATTTTATACAAACTCCACCTTTAAGATTTATACTTAAGTACAATGTGAGTTAGTCATTCAAAACTTGTTTCAGAGGAATTGAACTTCAACTCATAACTGATGAGACTTATGAACAGTAACAGAAATAACTAATATATTTAGGATTTTAGCATATTTTAGGTCGGAACCCTACTTTTATGAGAAGTGTTAATGTACTTTCCAGGTGCTTTATATTTTCCATTATCAACAGATTAATGGTCTTTTACAACCATGTAAACTAATTCTTGTACATTTATCTGTAAAGAAAGGATGGTTTAGATCAGTGGTTCCCAACCTTTTCACCACCCAAAACCCCTTTTATTATTATTTCCCCCTCCACAGACCCAATGTTTTTGAAAGATTCCATCTACCCAACAAACTGTTTTTATTAACTAATATTTAACTCGTGTTCTTATTTTTTACTACCAAATAAAATATATATAATTGAGTGTGCAATTAAATAAACAGCAGTATTAAAAAATTTATTTGTTTGATGAGATGGTATTACATTTGTGGACCCCAGAGGTCTGGAGACCCGAGGTCGGAAACCACTGGTCTAGATTAACATTATGAATTATTTAGTAATAACTGTGCAGAATTAAAACACACACACACACATACATTTAATTTCTTTAAAAGTCATATGAAGCAAAATATTTTCTTCCATAAAAACAAAAATTTATCTCAATGTGGACTGCAACTATAATTAAATATGGATTTTTGTTTGCTCAGTCTGCAAATATTGCAAATTGTGAAGATTCCACTGACAAATAAACCACAGAAAAAGCTGCAAGAAAAGCAATTAAAAGACAAAAATTTAGTTTAGGCGCTACTTGCCACAGAGCAAAGTGGAGTATGACAAATTTTGAAAGAGCTCTAGCACTATAAAATTTAACAACACTTTTTTGCAAGCAAATTAAACAACTTCCCTTACTTATAAAAACAATTCTGTTAGTTTGCTTATAAAAATTGATGTTTAGTTACTTTTTGTAACAAAACAATTGCTTACAAAATCATCCAGTTCTTCTTCTGCCTCCTCTTCAGTTCCTTTCTTTTTATCTACTGGACGAGGAGCAGCAAATGTGACCTCAAACAGGCAGAGTGCAACCAAAATTACTAACAACTTTTTCATTTTGAACTGAAAATAAAAGCAATATATTAAATTCAGACATTTTAATATCAAACAGGCCTGTACCATGACACTCAGTAAATAAAAAAAAGTATTACTCATTATTAGTTTAAATAATCTTCTATCTTTGAAATACTCAGAAAAATTTTAAACAACATTTTTAGAATAGTAAATTTGATGTTTAAGGACTCATATTCCACTACAATCACCTAATTGAAACAAACATTTAGTGACTATACAGTATATTTTTCCCTAACACAAGACAAGTAATACTTAAAACAATATCTTAAGTAGACAATTCCATAGAACATACAAAAATAATATACAAAATATTACAGAACCAAGCAGTTTTCAAAATTTTGAATTTAAAAAACACTGACTGAGAGAAATTTAAAATAGCATAATAAAAACCAAAACTTATGCAGTTGAACATAACGAAATACTAGGAAAATTATGTAAATTTCTGTAAAACATTTGTTACATACAGACTATGCAAATGCAGTTGGAATAAAGCTTAATGAAAATACAGTAAACATTTTGAGGGAAAGAGGTTTGTAAAATAGCACATTAATAATAAAAAACAACCAGCTGTCAGAACATCATTCAACTCCAGGCTTTTAGCCAATGATCTGTCCACCTGTCTTTTGATGGACATTTGTCTATCAATATGGACAAAAATAAGAAATTAATTTCAGTACAACCAAATTATGTTTGTCTAAGATACAGCAAACAGAAAATATCTTTGTCATTTAACACTTAATAAAGCATTACATCCGTTCTGTTGTTTCAACACGTATTATATATAAGCATCGATATCAATCAGTACTTTCAATGTAGGTGCTTCAGTGTCCATGGTATCAAATGGTGCTCTGAACATGATCGAATAAAACAATAATTTCAAAGTGGAACTGAACTTCATTTCTGAAGCAACTACAAATGATAATTTTCAATCGAGAAGATTAATGCAGTATTCCATATCTTGAACAGTTGATAGATGGAAACAAGATTGAACTATATCACTGCACTAATTCTGAGCTGGTTAAGAAAAAATTGGGAAGTTTAAAGAACAATAAGGCTCCTGGGCCAGATAATATTTCCCCAAGGGTTTTGAAGAATGTTAAAGATTGGATATGTGAGCCACTCACTACTGCTTTTTGTAAGTCCTTGAATAGTGGGCATGTACCAGAGGATTGGAAGTAAGCTAATTAACTCCTCTTTTCAAGGGAGGTGATAAAAATTGTCCCAGTAATTATAAACCCATTAGTCTTACATCAGTTGTAAGAAAAGTTTTGGAGAGTCTGATAAAAGATGCTTTGCAAAGTCATTTAACAAAGTTTAGAATTTTATTGGATAGTCAATATGGTTTCACTGAGGGAAAATCTTGCCTTACAAATATTTTAACATTCTTTGAAAAGGTTACTGCTTGTGTAGATGAGGGTAAGAGTGTAGATTTTGTGTATCTGGATTTTCAGAAAGCATTTGACAAGGTGCCACATAAAAGGCTTGTAAAAAATAAAATCTCTATAGGTGGGGGATAAGTTAGCAAATTGGATAGAAGAGTGGCTAGATGGAAGAAAGCAGAAGATTGTTACAAATGGAGTTCAGTCAAACTGGATTAATGTTACAAGTGAGAATACCTCAGTGCTCAGTATTAGGACCTTTGCTCTTTTTGATTTACATCAATGATATAGATGAAAGAATGGTTAATAAATTAGTTAAATTTGCAGATGATATTAAGGTCTTGGGTATTGCTAGCTGTGAAGAGGATACTGTTGACTTACAAAAGAATTTGGATCATTTAGTGAGTTAGACAAATAAATGGCAAATGGATTTCAATAAATAAACTTAGTATTCCGAAAACTGTTTAATTCAAGTTTAAGTTAAAAAAAGGTATAATTCAATCTACACTCTTATCAACGTGTGTTATTGGGTTATACTAGTTTCGGAGAATTCCACTCCTCATCAGTAATCCAGAAAACAAGATAACCAAAGAGAGATAAGCTGGACCTATATCATAGTGAAAAGTATCACATACACCATTAGTATGTTTGAAATGGATTTTAATGATAATAAAAGCAAGATAATGCATGTGGGTTATCATAATTTGAATTATAAGTATAATTTGGAT